TTGGAAGACAGAAGAACAAAAACCTTCTGGTTAGAAGACAGAAGAACAAAAATCCTTCTGGTTAGAAGACAGAGGAACAAAAACCTTCTGGTTAAAAGACAGAGGAACAAAAATCCTTCTGGTTAGAAGACAGAGGAACAAAAACCTTCTGGTTAGAAGACAGAGGAACAAAAAATCCTTCTGGTTAGAAGACAGAGGAACAAAAAACCTTCTGGTTAAAAGACAGAGGAACAAAAATCCTTCTAGTTAGAAGACAGAGGAACAAAAACCTTCTGGTTAGAAGACAGTGGAACAAAAAATCCTTCTGGTTAGAAGACAATGGAACAAAAACCTTCTGGTTGGAAGGACAGAAGAACAAAAACCTTCTGGTTAGAAGACAGTAGAACAAAAACCTTCTGGCTGGAAGACAGTGGAACAAAAACCTTCTGGTTAGAAGACAGAAGAACAAAAACCTTCTGGTTAAAAGACAGAGGAACAAAAACCTTCTGGTTAGAAGACAGTGGAACAAAAACCTGGTTAAAAGACAGAGAAACAAAAAATTTTCTGCATTGGAGAGGGGGGGCTAGCATAATTCATTTCTTAGCAATGCAACAAGTGAACACAGTAAACAACAATGTTGCATAAGAACTGCGTGAAAATAAAGCACTTGTGTGTCATCATTTTACAGCATTTTGATATACTGATACAACAAAACAGGATGCAATATGCATTGTTTAAAAACAGCACCAGGATAAACCAATTTATTAATAATACTACATAAATCTATAGTGTATGTCTATCAGGTCCTGCATTTTGTGGTGGTGTTTGCAATAAAATAATTGTAGTAAATCTATGATGTCCATGAAAAGTTTTATCACACGAATCTTCCACCTAATGACTTCTGTCCTTAAATTTCTACTGACTTTTTTCTAGTTTCTCTTGTGGGTAAATTTTTTAATATTTCTAAATTTGTAAGTAGTTTTTGTCAACATTTCTGAAGCTACTCCAACTCATATTGGGTTTAAATCTAATTAGATTATAGAAAAAATACTGAATTTAGGTTTTCTCTGAGTTATTTTAAATAGTCTGCTAGTTCATCCAATGTCAGATTCTCCATGGGAAAAGGTTTTATGTACAAAGTTTTTCTTTCTAAGATAGTTTATGAGTTGTTTTAGAGACGTCAGGATGTAGATAACACTTATAATTTAAAGCACCATTGTATTAAAACTTTCAGCAAATCTCTGAATACTATAGCTAGGTTTTGAAAAAGGAACAATAACACAGTTAAAATTACATAGGTTGCAGAGATCCTGATAAACTGATAAATTACTTCTGATATTAACAGTTAAAATTACATAGGTTACAGAGCATTCATCAGTTAATCAGATCATCAAGATTTCTGTAACCTATGTAATTTTAACTGTTAATATCAGAAGTAATTTATCAGTTAATCAGACCATCAAGATCTCTGTAACCTATGTAATTTTAACTGTTAATATCAGTAGTCATTCATCAGTTAATCACACCATCAAGAATTCTGTAACCTATGTACTTTTAACTGTTAATATCAGAAGTAATTTATCAGTTAATCAGACCATCAAGATCTCTGTAACCTATGTAATTTTAACTGTTAATATCAGAAGTAATTTATCAGTTAATCAGGCCATCAAGATCTCTGTAACCTAGGTAATTTTAACTGTTAATATCAGAAGTAATTTATCAGTTAATCAGGCCATCAAGATACTTCTGATATTCAGCACCTACGAATATATTTTTGAAATTCTGTTAGTGAAAATATACTAGATTTTGTACTTTGTAATCTCTTGTAATTAAACATTTTCCACTGATGAAAATGAAAGCTTTAGACATATTAAGTTTTCCATGCTTAAATTTTCAAATTAAAATCATGTATTTTCAGTGCGTAAACAGTATCACAAATCGTATAGATGGTCAAGTTCAGCATGACATTTAAGTTGCAATGAAAATGAACACTCTACAGGCAAAAGATCCAAGCTTACACTTCACGAATGTCTATATAATCCAATATACTTTCTATCATCATAAAGTCAAGTATGTAAAAGGATCCAAAATGTACATTTAAACTTACCATCTCTGCTGCTGTCATCCAAAACAATGATTTCATGAAGAAGAACTGACGGAGTTCTATCCAGAATGCTGTGAACCGTTCGGAGCAAGGTTGACAAGGCTTCATTGTAGAAACAAATTATAACACTAGCAGTTGGAAGACTAGATGAATAAGACTGTAACTTACATCTGAAAACAAATATAGCAAATTTATGTAAGTAAATCTATGAAAGTAATAAAATTTCTTAGTTTTTACCATATGATGTATAATATCCATTATATATGGCACAGAACTAACTAACATGTAGGACTATATGTGTCAACAACCTACGCAAGGGTGGATAAATGCAAGAACATCCTGGGCTGTAGAGTATGGTTCTTGGACATCAGATAAAATGTACCATACAAAGTCCTGTTGACATTACAAACCACGTCATTGTGCATTATTAAAAAAACAAAATACCAGCAGCCACAGCAGTATGTTGTAGGTTAAGTAACAAAAACGTAAGTTGTGTGTACTGTTACACATTTGAAACTTCAAGTTATTTTTCTTTCTTCTTACTTTGTTATTAAGCAAAAAAAGCTACATAATGAGATGTCTGTGCTATGCTCATCACAGATATCGAAACCCAGTTTTTAGCATTATAAGCCTTCAGACTTACCACTGTTGGGGAGGGAGGCAACTTCAAATTTGAATAAAATAATCTGGAGAGATCGAATGTCATCTTCATTCACGAAAAACTTCTGATATTAAGCACAAACTGGTCTACTGACATTTTGAATTGCAAGTACAGTCAAATGAAAATGAAAAATAGAATAAATAATAACCTTCGATAAGAAATGTTATGGAAGTCCATACAAGTTTTATGAAAACCTTGTATATCTTGACAGATTATTAACTGTCAACTTTCAAAGTGAGTTCCTCTATATCAATCACCAGATCAAATTCTGTAATAAATTCAAATAAACTAACTTTCTACTATTACTCTGTAACATTAAATATTTCAAAACCAAAGTCTTATTGTCATAATATTCAATAACAACTTTAAACTGTGTATGTTCTCTACATTTTATAAATAGTCATTTGTCTTCTCTTAGCTTAACAAATAACCTCTCTTAAGTTGCACCAAGTCACACAGTCGAAGCTGTATTCTGATTCAAGGTACTAGGTTTTCACAAACATGACTAAAAGCTCCATTTAAAAACTAATGTTGTCTAGGTGTAAAGTTTAAACCACCATGTCTCCAGTTTTAAAATAACACTAATGATTTTAAAATAATGAAACATGGATGAGAATAATACAACAAAATGTTTTTTACAATGTACGTACGCTTATAAATGATCTTAATTCTCATTTTTCAGCATGCATAATCTAAAAATTATGTTTAAAAATGAGAAATTTCATATTAAGTTACACTCTGCTATTGGTATAACTCAACCTTCCCAAGCCAATAAGAAAACTCGAAACTTAAATTACATTATGCTATTGGTACAGCTCAGCCCTCCAAATCAACAAGAAAAGTGGAAACAAATTTCAAATTATGTTTGCAGCCTACTTTACATCACTCCCTGCTCAAGTAGCCAACATATACAATACACATACATGCAGATTTGAAATGTAACATTCCTACGAGGATTATAAAGTAATTAGTTACTGTAACACACAATGAATCCAAACGGCTTGAAAATCATTTGTTCATAGTATACTTTTAAATCAATCATGCAAAATAAATTTATGTACGAATTACAAAGCACAATTTGTAAATTTTATTATTACCATTTAAAATTGTTATTTGGTATTAACAAAGAAAAAAAGTACTTATGACATTAATTCCAAACAAATCTTACTCTATAATAATAGATTAATTTGACCTACATAAAAGATCTGTCACACCGTAAATGCTTTTAAAAAGTCAATAAAAATTGGAGAATAGCCGATTGATAACGAAAGGAGATACCATAAATTGGATTAAAGTAACATAAAACGAATATATCACAAAATTGTGTGGTTCTATGTATTTTTAAACAATGAGAAAGTGATTATTAATAGACAAAATTATCTTCTCAAAATAAAACAAACAAAAAAAATAACAACACAATTGAAATTGTCACTAATATTTCTGTTTTATAATAACTAACATAGTCTCTAGTTCTAGTGTTCAAACACATTCAGTAATAATATCAATAAAACGTACTTCTCTGATTTCATCACAAAGACTTCATTATCAGCTTGATACTTTTGTGACTATTTTACTCCAGGACATAAGTGAAAATTCCATTCTTAAATTCCAATTTACAAAAAGTGTAGGACAAGTAATTATTCTTCAAAATGCACCACCTGGATTGTAATTCTGTAATTATGGTGATAATTTCATTCCAAAGTTTTTCTTGTTGTATTTTGGAGCAAACAAACTACTGTGAAAATTAATAAAAAAAAACTCACAAAGAGTGCCTAGTGTCCGGGATATCCCTGTGGTAACCGAGGCGACTGCTGATCAGAAGATTAAAAGCATGATGACGATCACCTTCATCTTTCAACCGTTGGTCCTGTGGATTTCTGATGACACCAAGTCCCAGTAGATCTGTCGAAGGTAAGGCTCCAGCATTTCTACCTAATGCCCCTAAATAACTGGCATTTCTAAACTGTTTTTCATCACGACTGTCATCATTATTAATCATATTATCCTCTTTTACAGGTATGTTTAAACCTGAATATTCATATACACCAGGACTGTTCTTGTCTTTACCATTTTTTGAATTAAGGTCCTGATGAAAATTTTCATACCGAGGTTTCAGTCTTTTTCTAAATAAATGTCTCGATGATGGAATGTTTGGGCTTTTGGTATATGCAAGGTCAGAATACATGTATATAATCAAAAACCAAGTAAATGAAGTAAGTATCATTCCTAGACAAAATGAACGATAACGTAGAGTAAACATGATGCTGAGAGTACTAACTAATACTGATATAAATGGAAAGATAAGTTAGACCACAACCAAGATCTGATAATATTCCTTTTAATCCTCAAATCCATCTGTTTATGAGTGTATAAGAACTGAATTTTTCTGGTGTGTAATTTACAATTTTCTTTGATCCTTCTAGTTCAGGTCTGAAATCTACAATTTCTGTTGATTCTTGTAGAAAGACAGTTCATTTCATGCTGCTGGTACTGTAAAATCCACAACAAAAATAACAGTGAAAAACTGCCAGTGGTGTTGGTGGTAGTACTACTAATAATATCCAAACAAATAATACATATAAAATAACATCCTTATCTCAGAATAGTACTACAGCCCACAATTCGTTTATTGGGTCTGTTGTTGTTTTTAAATCAGATTTTCAGCAAACTCACGATCATGGCGAAAACTTAAAAGTTAAACTAAAAGATAAGAATAAAACAAATCTGAGGCCCAAACTCTGAAATGCAGTGTCAGCGTTGGGGCTCGATATGCGGTCACAACCATTTCAAAGTTTAGTAGTCACGCTTCTTTTTTCTTAATAAACTAACATTTTAATTCGTATTTTAAATTTAAACCCTCATCATGTTGTCTTTCATTTAAATAGTCTATAAATTTAGGCAAGCAATATCCGTATTTAAACGAGCCATACTTTTAAATTCAAAAACTATTACTGTCAGCTGCTTTTCCATCGCGTCTGCCAACTTGCAAAGCCGGTCACTGCATAACACCAGTTTTGTTTCCGATTCTAACCTAGGTTACTCACAAGGGTGTTGTCTGTGTATTCACTCTTGAGCCGTAGTAATAGTATGCCACATATCATATTATAATTTATGATATTATTCAAGTTTGCTGATAACCTACATTTTTATTAAAAATATAAATTAAAATTAACATAAAACATCAAAGACCAATTTCTTAACTACTTCCATAAAAAAAACAAAATAATAA